CCCCCCCGCCCCCCCCCCCCCGCACACATGCAAACACTTTGATGTAGCCCAACTGTTTAGCAGACAATACTCGGAAGAGAAGTGTTAAGGTTTTGAGTTCAAGCCTGACCTAAAGCAGCGACTCACTCCGACCTCACCTTTACAATTAGCTTATAAAGCTGGAGTCCCAGCCTAGACGACAGTGAGGAAGGGAGCAGTTAAAATGCTCCTTCAATTTTATCTCCTCAAAAATCCATCCTCCTTTCTTACCCACCTGCCCTTGCCAGGGTCCCTCAAGCAGAGGGAGAAATGGGGAGATAACCCGACGTAGATTATAATGTGCTGGTGACACTGGCAGCACAGAGGCTTGAAGCCCAGATGCACCAAATCAACCCTGTGGCTCAATGTGTTAAAATGGTAAGAATAACCCGAATACTAGGCCCTTTTTCTCCTGAGGACTAGGTAGTGGTAGGGGCAGGACCTTCTACCCTCAGGCTAATTTAGGGGGCTTGGGGAGGAGCCCTGGAGCATCCCACGGGCCCTGCCCTGGACAAGTGGGTGAAGGGGAGTCGCAGGCTGTAGATGCTACAGTGTGTGTGTGGGGGGGGTGAGGATGGTAAAATCTCCTTCTTCCCACTCCTAGAGGCACTGCTGGGATTGTCCCTCCTTGTCAGAGGGCAGAGCAGAGGGACCCAGGTGCTGCTGCCATGAGGGTGGGCAGCCCTAAGGCTGAGGCAACTCGGCCCTTATAAAGCCACCAGAGCGGGGCCAGTCTGAAAATGGAAACCTCGCGCCGCTTGGTGGGAAAATCCAAGGCCACACAGGAGTCTGCCTCCTAACACAACCCGCCCCCTGCCGGTCTATAGCCACAGACACCTACCAGACACTCCTGGCTTTTCCTTCCTGCTGCCGCTTTCCTTCCCGGCAGCTTTTCTCTCTCTTATCTCCGAGTCTTCAAACGTTTTCCCTAAAGAAACAGAAAAACACCAGGGCAAAGCCCATGAGATGTCGGGAGCCCGTTTGTCCGCCTTGAAGCTGCACAGTCCATTTTGTGAAGCTCTGTCCCTGTCTGACAGGGACTCAGCCCTGGATGCGGCTTTGTCCATTGCAAAAGAGACAGGAGGAGGCTGCAGATGGGTGGGGGACGGATCGGTGGTGGCCCCTTCGTAAAGAATGATTCAAGTGGGGATGTGGGAGGTAAAAGGGTTACAAGTAGTAATTATGTAACAGTTACAATTTTCTCAGTGACAGTATTTTTTAACCTGCTGACAGGCAAGATCGGTAATGGACATGGGCTCTCCTGGGGACAGGGATCTCTCAGGAGTGGCCACAAGGACTGCCGGCAGGTGGGGACTCCCAGCAGCTGCAGACTGATGTTAGCTGCCGGGAGCAAGCGGACACTGCCGACGGCAGTGAGGAGTTTAAGTGGTAACTGGCACCAATAAGCATTAGCTCGTCAGTTAACCAGTTTGAACTCTGGCTACAACCCAGTCGAATCCCAGTGGTGCCTGGCATGGCCCTGCGCTACCTGGAGCGGTGCTGTGTGGACTCAAGGTACTCAAAGCCACACACAGCATCCAGGCCAGCAACCTCCTCTAGTGCTGGCTGCAGCATCTGAGTTTAACCCCTCATGGAGCAGCCCAGGAGTTCAGCATCTCTGGGGGAAATCCCCTCTCCCTATTGGGTCTGGGGCCACAAAGCATCTTTCCCTCCTATAGGGCCACACAGCATCACTGATCAGTAATGCTGAGGGGAGGGAGGAATGCAGCCTAGTGGTTAGTGTAGCCTTGGACCGAGTCTGGAGAGAGCAGGGTTCAGGGTTATACTCTGACGTGCTTGGTGACCACGAGGGAACTTGCTGCCTCACTTTCCCTTCCCACCATTTGTCTAACTAGACTGTGACCTGCTCAGGGCAGGGACTGTCCCTTGCCAGGTGTTGTGCAGGGCCCCGATTCCATTGTAGGCCTATAAGGCAAATGACAGATTACTACCGCTTCTCAGCCAGTCAGTAACAGCTTGTAACCCCCTCTTCTCCAGTGTGAAAGCAGAAAGAATTATATTGGAAGAGAAAGAGGAATTATACTGTAATAATAGAATAAGTCGAAGGAATACTGTTTGTCTCTAAAGAGGAAAGAGAAGATTATGTGAATGTTGTTTGTTGGTATGCAGGATGGATCAGAGTGGAGCCAGGTGCGTCCGGGAGAACAGGAAAAGGAACATTAGGTGTTAGAAAATAATCGAGATAACCAGCGAGATATGGACAGGAGACTGCTGAGGGTTGATATGGAAATGAAGATACGTGACTAGTCTCATAGGAATCATGTGAACTTTTGCCACCTTTTATAATCTTGTTAATTTCGCTTTCTTTTGTCGGTATAAATCACGGGGTTTTGAGCCTTGTATGGGACTCACATTTTCTGGGTGCATTAGCAGAGCCGCTTTACTAATAAACACAGCGGTCTAACAAATCGGTGAGTCCTGTGTCTGACTTTGACACCAGTCCCATAGACTGGTCTGCAGCTCCCGTGATCCAATCCCTTCTCAACCCTTTTTTTAAATAAAGTACACCTTTTTCCAACATACATATAAGTACCCCCAGCACCTACAGGTTACAGACACAATTTTTTTAGTACCATTGCAACACATAACTTAATTGTAGCAGGGCAGGTGATGAAGTTTTTGGGTGTAAGAAGTACAAAAACAATAAAGCGCTTTAAAACTTAAAATAAAAGCTCAATTTTCTCCAAATTTTTGTTGTGTTGCTGTATCCCCCAAGACTTCTCTCAAATATTCCTAAGTGTACTCATATCACTGGGGGTATGTCTACACTACCCCGCTAGTTCGAACTCGCGGGGGTAATGTAGTCATCCGCAATTGCAAATGAAGCCCAGGATTTGAATTTCCCGGGCTTCATTTGCATGAAGCCGGCCGGCGCCATTTTTAAATGC